TCAACTATGAACATTCATTCAATTCCATGAAAGAAATCAGACCACACTCTTCTGCCCTGGCTTTTTTCACTAAAGTATATTCAAGATCTCTTCATAGGAGCATGTAAAGATCTACCTCATTTTTTTAAACCTTTTTTCCAATGTAAAATTTCTATTGAGGTGAAATTCACAGAATATAACATTAACCATTTTAAAGTATATACTGGTAAGTCAGTGGTGTTGGTACATTCACAATATTGTGCAACCACCACCTGTGTCTAGTTCTAAAACATTTTGTCACCCCAAGACATAAATAACCCCACACCCATTAATCAGTCACTCCCCATTTCTTCCTCCTCTACCCTCAGGTAACCACCAGTCTGCCTTCTGTCTGTGGATTTTCCTGTTCTGGACATTTCATATCAATGGAATCATACAATATGTGACATTTTGTGTCTGGCTTCTTCACTTAGCATCATATTTTTGAGATTCATCACATTATAGCATCCATCAGGACTTTATCCCTTTTTATGGATGGGTAATAGTCCATTGTATAGATAGACTACTTTTGGCCTTTTTTTAAAAAAAATCCTCATCCAAGGATATGTTCATTGATTTTAGAGAGGAAGGGAGAGAGGGGGGGGGGAGGAGGGGAGAAACATTGATGTGAGAAACATCAACTGGTTGCCTCCCATACATGCAATTAGGTATGTGCCCTGACTGAGAATCGAACCCTCGACCTTTTCATTTATGGGACAATGATCCAACCAACTGAGCCACACCAGCCAGGGCTGGCCTTATTCTTTTTAAAGGCTGCATAGCATTGATGCCCACAACTCACTGAACCGCCCCTACTAGTTGACCTATAGGTGGTTTCTCTGTTTTTGCTATTACTCATGACACTTCAGTGAGCTGCCCCACACATATATCTTGGCCAGAAGAGCCACAGAGTAAAGGCTTAGAAGTCAGGTTACTGGGCCAAAGATGTGTGTGTAATTAGGAGGGATCCCACAAATCTGTATTCCAGAGGTGTTCGCCCAGTCACAGCGCCTGGGGCTTCTGTGGCCCATACCTTCGCAAGCACTGGCCGTTAAAACTTCAAAAGTTTTATCAACCTGATCGGTGGAAGCTGGCATCATGGTGATTTTTATTTTTAATAACTTTCACATGCTCATTTGCAGTCAAACTTCCTGTTCCTGTCTTTGATCTCTTTTCTTTTTGGTTGCTTTGTCCTTTCCTTATTAATTAGTGTAAGCTTGTTCTTTGTGTATTAAGGAAATGAGCTCATATTCGAAGGAAATTAGCTCTGGCTCACTCGTGATGCAGTTTTGTGTTTTTTTTTTACTTTGCATGTGGCACTTTTTGTTCACTGAAGTTTTAATTTTCTGTGCTGGCAAGTGTACGACCATTTCCTTTGTGGCTTCTGAGAGCTGGATCCTCCCTAGAAGGGCCTTTGCCCATCCCTGACTATAAACAAGCGAACCCAGGCTTCCTTATAGACCAAGCATGTCAAACTCAGAGGCTAACATAGGCCAAATAAACAAGGCATGCGGCCTGCAGGCTGCGAGTTGGATATGCTTGTTATAGATATTTTATGGACTTCTTTGTAATAAATCTTTGCTTTGTAATAGTATTTGTAAAATTTTTGTAATTAAATTTTTGCTCCAGCTCCACTTATTTTGGGGTGAGAACTGGGCTTCAGATTTCATATTTCCCCCCACACGGTGGCTGACCTAGCCTAGGAATCCACCATTCTTCTCTCATCTCCTCCAGGAGGCTACACGGCTCCTTTGACGTGCACATCAAGGGCATGACCATTTCCGTCAACCTGGTCCTGGGCAGCGAGCCCTCGGGGAGGCCCACGGTCACTGCCTCCAGCTGCAGCACCCACATCCATGATGTGGAGGTGGACATGTCGGGAAATTTGGGGTAGGTCACCACAGGGGCAGTGGCCAGCTGGACCCCTGGCTGCAGCCCGAGGTCCAGCCAGCCAGCCGGCGACCTGGCCTCTGACAAGCCCGTCACAGCACTTGGGGGTTGTTATTGGGGACACTGCTGAGATGGACAGATTAACAGACGCAGATTCCAGCCAGGAGTCCTGGGGAGCCATTTCCACCAGACGTTTTCAGGAACTACCTCAGGCCAATGAAATGTGGCTGTTGGAGGAACACCAGGGCTTTTGGCCAAAGGAGAGTTTATGAAAAACATACAAGCCCTTGGGCAAGTGTCTTTGAGTGGAATGTCCTTGATTAGGGAAATGTGGGTTCTTGAGACCCTCCCCCAAATCGACTGAATTCGCTTGGGGCGCAGCAGGGGCTGGGATGCCAGATGCCCTGAATCAGTGAGTGTGCCCGGAGCTGGGACTCTGGGTCACAGCAGGTACCACACTGGGGCAGGGAGGGCTCCCTCGGGAACCGGCCTGCCGGAGGCCAGGGCCTGGCTTTCCTGGCGGCCTCACCAACACTGTGTTCAGTGGCACACAGCTGGCCTTGCCCTGTGCTCCATTCCCCAGGTGGCTGCTGAATCTCTTCCACAACCAGATCGAGTCCAGATTCCGAGAAATACTGGAGAGCAAGGTAAGAATGTCAGAGCCACAGAAGGGCTGGGCTCAAGTCATACGTGGGCCAAGGCCCAGAGAGAACAAATCACCTGCCGCAGGTGGCAGAGCTGGTGTGTCAGCTGGGCCGGCACGTAGGTCTCTGGACTCTGCGTCTGTCCTGTAAAGCAGAGAATGGTTAGATGCTTGGCCAAGGGTCGGAAGCAGGGGCCAGCAGACTCCCGCCCCACCCTCCGCTTGGTCTTGCTCACTTTCCCCCACTGCCCCACGAAGGCCCAAAGGAAAAGCAGCACTTAGATGCCTGCAGCGACCAGGCAGGAACCTTCAAGGGCGTGTGAACCAGGTGAGAACCCGGTTCCTACCTGGGCAAGCACGTGAGCACCTGCCTTGGGAGGGAAGGCAGCGATAGTGTCAGTTTTTCCCATTTAAAAAATTATGTGAAACCTCCAAATTGTTATATCTCTGGCCCAAACAAAAACGTTTCACTCCCATTTTGGAGGTAACACTCGCCTGGAGCTGTGTCTGTAGCAGTGCGTGCCTGGGGAGGGAGAAGGTAATGTAGGAGGAAAGAGGGAAATACACTTATATCCCTGCACCTTGGTCCAAGGTCTGCTTTGGCTCTGAGTGCCCCCTGGTGGTTGAATCGGAATAGCGGGCATCCCCACAGGTGGGTGTGGCAAGCTGCATTCTGTGCCTTGTCTTCTGGGGTCCTGGGGTCTAGGTGAGTGTGGGAAACATGCAAATCTGCTTCTCCAGCACCTCATTGCCATGTTGTACTGAGTCGGAGGACACAGAGAGCAATGAGCAATCCAGCCAGCCTGTTAAGTGATGACATTTGGAAGTACCTCCTTTAAATACACACTTATTTGGATGGCAGATCTCCGTACTATCCAGTTCTGCTCTTCCCCTCTACATTCCGGGAGCCTGGGGTGACTCAAAAGAACTGTCTGCAATGGGGGAGCTCAGGGCAGTGCCTCCGGCCAGTGTCCCCTCATTGGGCTGTGTAGGCGACTCCCTAACTCAGATGTCCAGCCCTGGGATCCATTTGGGAAGGTCTGATTGGTCCCTGTTGGGGTCCATGTAGGGACCTAAGTGTCTCTGATTATTTCTGTTTGTTCAGTGCCTGACACATAGTAAGTACTTATATGTTTTTATAAAATCAATGAGCAATGAGCAAATATGTGAAATGTGACTAAAGCAATTAGCACAGTGTCAGCCCAAAGCCAGGGAACTCCCTTAGGCTTTCTCTCCCATCCTTTCAGGTTTGCGAAATTATCCAGAAATCGGTGACCTCTGACCTACAGCCTTACCTCCAAACTCTTCCAGGTAGGGTGCCCCCCCCCCCACACCGGACAGTTTATTTCTATTAATTCTCATAAGAGCATATATGTATCTTACAAAATCTTAAGTGGGACAGAAGTATAGAAAGTAAAAATTAAAAGTCCCTTTTTTTCCTCAAATTTTCTTCCAAGAGGTAATCTCTGTGTTGGGTGTATCCTCTTCAATATTTTCTTTGCATATACAAATATGCATATACATACACATGCGCATATGAACATACATTCATATATATTCCTTTGTTCATGAATATAGATGCATATGCATAATTGTGAGTAATATTAATGTACACAGGATAGACATTGTCCTTGTGTAACTTGTATATGTTGAAGATCTTTCTATATCAGTGCATATAAATTGATCTCATTAAAAAATCTCTTTGTGGAAGTCAATACTTAGAGAAAGGTGCTCCCGTTATAAGTGAACAGCTTGAAGAATTTTTACAAACTGAACACATATATACCAGCTCCAGATCAATATACAGAATATGATTGCTCTCTCGGGTCTCCTGTCACTACCCACCGCTCCACGGTAACCATTACCCTAACTTCTACCAGCAAAAGTTTTGCATTTTGTCCATGGATGGAGCCTTGCAGTACTTAAAGTCTTTTACCAAAAGCAAAGGCTTTCTTTGTTCAGCCTTAAAATGAATTTGACCCGTGTTGTTGCAAACAGTGAGCTCATTCATTCTCCTTGCTGTGTAGTATTCCACTGAGTCAAAGTCCCTCCATTCTACTGTTGAAGGTCATTTGGGTAGTTTCAGTTTTAGACCTTTATGCAGAGCACTGCTATGAATATTCTAGCTCATGTGACGCATGTCTTTGGATTACACTAGGAGTGAAATTGCAGGCTCACCTGGTATGCATGGTTTCAACATGATCGGATCCTGACAAACAGCTTTCCAACAGAGCTGTAACAGACCTCATTTTAGTAGCTGTATAGTAGTCCCTCCGATGGCTGTGTCTTCATTTATTTATTAAGTCCCCAGACTCTGGGCATGCAGGCTTGGTGCCCTCCTTTGCTATTGCCCATATGGGGAAGGCGGCACCTCGCCCAACCTCCTTGCCTGCACATGTGAGTGTATCGTAGCACAGTCCTCAAAAGTGGAGACCCTGGGTCCAGGATGCACAGGTAAAGTTTGTGGTTCGCACCCTGACAAATAGCCTGAGGTGTCCTCTGATAGCATGGCCCCTACGCTCACCTGTGGACATCTCCCTCCAGTGGAGGCCCAGGTGGGCACAGACAGCCCTGTGTGAGATACAGACCCCCTGTTCCTCCAGGGCTTTAGAGGGGAGAGTCTGAGCCCTCTGCACATGCCAACCTTCCTGGCTAATTGGTTTGTGTTGAAGGAGGTCAGTTTCCCCTCAGTTGTAAACTTGGGGAGCAATACCCTTGGTTAGAATTCTCCCCATTGTGTAGCTTCCTTGGCATGAAGCTCCTGGTGTGAATGGGCTGCCAGACCTGGGCTCCTCTTGCCCTCAGGGTGTGTGTGTGTGTGTGTGTGTGTGTGTTCGCGCGAGTGCGTGTGCGTGTCCCTGGAACCCACTCACTCTCAGGCAGAACACACCCCTCCCCTGATGGCTAATCCACTAGTGGGACAAAAGACCCAGCTGGTCTCTCTCTTATGAAGCAGCTCTTTGCCCAGGGCTGGGCTGGGTGGAGGGTCTGGAGGCACAGGGGCAGGGGCTCTGAAGAAAGTCACCGGAGTGTAGGTCAGTCAGAGCCTCACCCCTTCTCCTCTTCTGGCTCCTGATTCTGCCCCTCCCCCGGTTCACAGTCACGACAGAGATCGACAGTGTCGCTGGCATTGATTACAGCCTAATGGAGGCCCCTCGGGCAGCGGCCCAGATACTGGACGTGATGTTGAAGGTGAGGGTCCTGGAGCAGGGGCTTGGGTGGGCCCTGCCTCAGCGAGGCATTCGTCCCTCAGGATCAGCTCTTTCTCGGAGCCTCCTGTCCACCTGGCTCAGCTCTGTCCTCATCTCCCCTGGTTCCAGCTGTGTTGAGGGCGGGGCAACCGGGAGTAGTGGGGAGTGTTCCCAGGGCCAGGCTCCTCTCACAGGGTCTGAAAACTCCTAGGCCTGTAGCTCCCCCCGTCACCCCCCACTTCCTCTCCTTCACCTTGCCTTCCATGCAGATGAGCTCAATCAGGAGGTCTGGCCAATAGGTCTTGTGGGTTAATACACCAAAGCTGGTGAGTGTTTTATTAAGGGATTCCGGACATGCAACCCTTTAGGAAAGGAAGACCCAAAGGAAAACGTCTTTAATGGTGTAGTTTCAGGCAGTGTCTCTAGCCAGTGCCCCCCCCCCCCCCCCATCAACCTGTATAGTGACTACCTAGCTCAGAAGTCCAGCCCTGAGGTAAACTTTTAAAATTCAAATGGACCTTATTTTCTCTCTCCAGGCTGAAATTTTTAACCGTGAACATCGCACCCCAGTTGCTTTCCTTGCTCCTGTCATGAGCCTTCCTGAGGAACACACCCGAATGGTCTACTTTGCCATCTCTGATTATGTCTTCAACACAGCCAGCCTGGTATATCATGAGGCAGGGTACCTGAACTTCTCCATCACAGATGATGTGGTAAGGCTGGCGACAGAATAATGCGTACAAATGACAATGTAACCTGGCTTCTCTTCCTTCTTTCCTTTCTGCCTGATTTACATCAGAGAAGTAATAAATTATGACTAAGAAAAAAGATCGGGACTAGGAAAAATATGTCAGTACAATTTCCCTTTTCACTTTGGCTGCCAGGAAGCTCAAAATCTAAGTTCTTTCTTATAACAACTGTGGATGACTTTGTGGCTTGCTTGTCTGTGTTTTATTCTCTCCCCCTTCCCTCAATCTAGATCTGTTATTCTAATTCATAATTTCTCTCGTTCTGATAGTTTGTAGGTTGTTTTTTTAAAAAAGATTTTAGAGAATGAAATGCATAAAGTTACATAGAATAGTAAATTAAGACCAAGTTAAAAATAAAGCACAATTATGAAGACACTGGACCTATAAATATCTGTCTGGGAGCTTCCTTGTAACCAAAGTAAAAAGGAACATGATTTAGTGATTCGTGGTAAAAAGCAGAAACAAAGTTCTAGCACTTACCTCTAAAACAACATTCTCAAAAGTGGCTTTGTATAAGGGATACTAAATCTTAGAGTGGATCACATCTTTAATATGTCTGGGTTTCAGAAGGTTATTTCTAGTAGCTCTTGTAGCCGTGAACAATGTCAGGATGGTGGGAAAACACAGGGTGGTCCAATTTGGATGATCCAGTTTCCCTGGTGATAAATCAGGGACCACCTGCTGAATGACTGGGTGACTTTTCCTCCCATCATCACATCTGATTCCCCCATCTCACGGTGCTGCAGTCCTTTCTCTTGCAGACGGGATCACATAACTGTGCTTTACCGAGTGCCCACTATATGCTAGGCCTTGTGCCAGATGTGTTGTACCCACCATTTCACTGAACCCTCACGATGCCATGGTAGGGGGGGACTATTGTTAACCAATTTCACAGGTGAGGGAGTCGAAGCTCAGAGAGGTGAAGGGAGTGGCCCGAGACCACATTGTGACAAAGCCAGGAGCCAAACCTAGTCTGTGTGACTGCAAATCCCACTGTCATGAACGCTCTGAGCGGGTCCCGAATGTCACCTGTGCCCCACGGAGAGCAGAGAGTCCCCGCGGTCTCATGTGCTCCTGTTGAATGATGGGCAGGCCTCTTGTCACTGCCATGGTAACCCCGGGCATTCGAGAAGTTCCAGTCCGAAACACCCGCCACCTCTCCCTCTCTGTTCAGACCTTCAGTTATGGAAGGAGCACCCTAAAACTTCTTTGTGTCTCTTCACTGCAGGTTCCACCGACCTCCAACATCCGACTGACCACCAAGTCCTTCCGCGCCTTCGTCCCCCAGGTAAGGCTCCCCTCGGCCCTCGGTGGTGCAGGCCAGCCTTCAGGGATCTCTCTTTAAAACCCCCCAGGCTCTCAGCTTGACCAAGAGTCAGAAGACAGCAATGAGCCCCTCAGTGAAGGCCAGAGTGCTGCAGGCTTTGGGACCTTCTTCCCTTCAAAGCCCCAATAGCACTGGCCTGAGCCCCGGGTCTCCTGGGACCACAGGTTGCCCAGCCTTACTGGTGCCATCTGAGAATCCCAAGGAATGCCATCATGACCATGCACAACGGAATACAATGTTTGGGGACTGTCACCGATCTAACCCCACTGGCCATTAAGTTGTCTGTAAGGTTTTGTGTTTTTTTTTAAATATATATATTTCTTTATTGATTTCAGAGAGGAAGGAAGGAGAGATAGAAACATCAATGATGAGAGAGAATCATTGATTGGCTGCCTCCTGCACGCCCCCTACTGGGGATCGAGCCCGCAACCCCAGCATGTGCCCTTGGCCGGAATCAAACCTGGGACCCTTCAGTCCGCAGGCCGACGCTCTCTCCACCGAGCCAAACTGGCTAGGGCTGTCTGTAAGGTTTTGCCATGATAATGTCCACTCCCTGTGTTCATGGAACGGTGTCCTATGACACCGCTAAGAGAAAAAGGCACAGAGCATTTTATGGGAGTAAAACCCACCAGAAAGCACGCTCAGAGTTACCTGCCGCCCTCCAGGCTCTCCCGGCAAACCCATACGTTTCCTTCTCTTGACCTAATCTCCTCATTCTGCCCCCAGTTGGCCAAACGCTACCCCAACATGAACTTGGAGCTCCAGGGAAGAGTGGTCTCTGCCCCCGTCCTGAACTTCAGCCCCGGGAACCTGTCCTTGGCCCCCCAGATGGAGGTTGAGGGCTTTGTGCTCCTGCCTAACTCTGCCAGGGAGCTTATCTTCCAGCTCGGCGTGGTAAGGTTTGCTTTTGCAAATGCTGTTCCTTCTTCCCGTGTGCTTCCCCCCACTCACCACCGGTCCAGTTCCTTCAGATTTCAACTTGAATACCACTTCCTCAAAGAGGCCTTTCTCGTTTGCTCTTATCACAATGCCTTAGGCTCCTTGTCATTTTTCTCTTGTAGCACCCTATTATTTTACTTCATTACATTTATTATGAATATATTTAGGCAGCTGATGGCAGGTTTATTTGTTTAATGTAGTTATCTCCCAGCAAGTGAGTCTGGGCTGCTGTGGGAAGGAAGGCATAGGGGTCTTTGACCTGTTGGCTCTGCATCTATAGCTGACCCCTGAAGACTACATTTCCCAGGATCCCTGGCAGCACTCTGACATCCAGCTAGGTCAGCCAATCGAAGGCACTATCAAGAGAATGGAGGGCAGGAGGAAGGAAGAAGCGGAGTATTTTTTCCTCTCTTTGTCTAGGACAGAGACAGGGGGAGTGACTGTCTCCTCCACAGTGGCTCCCATAACACCAGCTCTCTCTGTTCTTCTGGCCTTGAGGTGGCAGTAGCTTCCTGCCTCTGTTAATCCCTGAGTTGCCACTTCAACTCTCTTTATTTTTTGGCTTTTCAGCAATTCCATCACTTGTATCACCAAGTCCCTGGGTTACATTCCCTCTGTGTTAAACACCGAGAGAGCGCCCCCTCCCCAGGGGACCCTGTCTTCTAGGGAAGGGATTCGGAGCCTTTGGGACTCTTGCTCACTGGGCGGAGAATTTTGTCCTTTTCTTTTAGGTTTGAAACTCAACAAGACACATTTCTGGAAGGGTAATTGCACCCACATGCTGTATCTACAATTTGATATTGTTATGAGAATTTTTGTCACCAATATATTTTAAATGAAAATATAATCTGTTATTACTATCATGGTTATTGTTATTCCCAGGGCTGAATCTTAGTCCTGACATAGCTAGAAGTGAGCCCTTTGAGATCTCAGGGACAGGCACTCTACACTTGCTCTCAGTAGTCTGTTCAAAGTTTACTGTTCTCATAGTCAACCATTTCAAGTAAAAATGGTTCAAGTTCAAGTTCAAACATCAAGCACCTACAATGAACCTTCTGGGAGTCTATAGTCTACTAGAAGGTTCCTGCTTTAATTCACCGAGCTGTTTATTTAGAGAAGACAGCTGGTCCTCGTAGAACGTGACAGCCTCCCTCACTCAGACCTGTTTCCTTCTCCTGGAATCTCCAGACCACTAACCTGTCGGCCACGTTGACCTTCAACACCAGCAAGATCACTGGGTTCCTGAAGCCAGAAAAGTAAGTCAGCCTCCCACCCACATGGGGGCGCTCAACCAGGCTTGCTCCATCTGGCTGGCACTCGCTGATTATCTGTAACTGGAGGTGGGGATGTGACCAGATCCTCCTGTCAATGTTAGGGGCCCAACATTTAAGAGGGAAACTTAAATCTTGCCCCAGTTAGCCAAATTCTTTTGCCCCTCTGGCCCCGCTTCCGCCAACTTCCTTTCCACCTAAGCCCCATTACTTCCAGTCTTCTACAGGATGTAGTAATACTGCTTTTTCTTAATTTACGAATTTTAGACATTGGCTATTCTGACTTCCTGAAGTGATAAAGATTGAGCTCTTGTACACTACCCATCTCCCCTCTTTGAGTCTTCCCAATAAGGTGATATCATTCTTTTTAGCTAGTCATCTTTTTCACTCCCGCCCCTACCCCACCCTTGGCCATGTGCCTTCTCAAGCCAGTGCCTCCTTCTTTCCAGGGAACACCACATGGCTTAGGTATCCCATGGGCATAGTACCCACACCTCTGAATCATTTCTGATCTATTGTAGGGTACAAGTGGAACTGAAAGAATCTAAAGTTGGACTATTCAATGTAAGTTACTGTTTTTGTTTATCAATATTATTGTTTTGGCTGGGGTATTGATTAATTCAGAGTCTTAACTAAGCAATGTTACACGGTGCCTAAGAGTAGAAAATGGAAAAGGAGAAGAGCTGTTCTCTGCCCTAGAAAAGTATAGAAGCTCTCAAGGACTTAAAACCCAGGGCGAAGCAAAAGTTACATCCCAATGTAAGGCAGTCTATCATTAAGTCTCCTACTGGACCAATTTTTTTAAACTGCAAGGAATAGAAAGCCAACTAAAAATGTCTTAAGCATACGAGAGGAATATATAGAATCATGTGATTAAAAAACAACCACAAAACAAAAACAATGAAGACTACTAAGGCTAGAGATTCCAGGCATAGCTGGACCCAGGTGCTCAAATTAATGCACCAAGAACCTCCATCTCTCTGTTTGCTTTTATCAGTGTTGGCTTTATTCTCAGGCAGGTTATTCCCATTGGTGAAAAACCCCTAAATTTCCTGTGGTTTCATTTAAAAAAAAAATCCCTGTGCTAGCTTTCATTAGATCAACCTTAGCCATGTGCCCATTCTTTAGCCAATCACTATGGCCAGAAATACGACAAGGCCAGTCAGCCAAGTTTCCTGGAGCCAGAATTTGCAATCCCCAGTAGTATGGACTGAAATTGGAAAGGGGGTTCCCCGGAGGAAAATAGGGACTTGTATTAAAACAAGAGAAATTAATTGCTGGGCACACAAAATGAAGAGATGATTTTCACAAAGAGAAAAAAAAGTGGTGAAATAGTCCCCTATTAAAGGAGGAAAGAGAATGGGAAGATGGGTGTGGGCTGAAGCAACCATGGGGAAATTTCTGAAAAGAGAGGTGGGGTGATGGCAGCTGCTCCTCACAGGCCGAGGAGGAGATGGGAAGGCTTGAACTTGCGGTAGTTGTTTTCCTCTTCAGCGTCCCAAGGATACTGACCTCTGACCACACTCACCTGTTCTCCTCTCCCAGGCTTTCCCTTATGTACTTATGAAGAGGAAATAAGCACATAAAGTGTGGAGAGACACTGTGCACAGGGTCCCCAAAGAATGACTCCTTTCAGAGAACAAAGTGGATAATGACACACTAATATTGTATCTGGGCATGGCATGTAAATGTTCTAAAACATTTGTAAAACATATGTAAAGATTCACAAAAAGAGTATTCATTAAGTTTTTGGAACATATGATAAAAAAAAACCCAGAACTATAGAATCAGATAAATCTGGATTCAAATTCTGACCCTGCAGCCCAGTGTCTAACAAGCCACTTTCATTCTGATCGCCTCAGTTTTCTGATCCATAAAATGGGGACATTGATGTCAACTTAAAGGGGTTATTGTAAAGACTAAAGCAGATATATGTAATGCTCTGGGTCCCATACCTGGCACATAGTGAATGTTAAAACTTGTGTATCTTGCCCTGACTGGTTTGGCTCAGTGGATAGAGCGTCGGCCTGTGGACTGAAGGGTCCCAGGTTCGATTCCGGTCAAGGGCATGTACCTTGGTTGCGGGGTGTGCAGGAGGCAGCTGATCGATGTTTCTCTCTCTCATCGATGTTTCTAACTCTCTATCCCTCTCCCTTCCTCTCTGTAAAAAATCAATAAAATATATTAAAAAAAAAACTTGTGTATCTTAAATTTTGTTTATTACACAAGTAATTCAGGAAAACATTCTCACTGTAAAAAACTGTTTTTGAATATTTAAGACAAGGCTAAGCCAAACTTCGATGTTCTTCCTAGAGGAAAGATGGTTGGGTGTGTAGTCTTCCAACATTTTTCTCTTTTTGCACACTTAAGTGTACATCTTGATGTAGGTATCTATCTGAAATTTGCTTTTTCCAAGTCTTTTGCCATGTCAGCACATACCGTACCATGTCACCTCCAGGGTGGCTGTGTGGAGGTTTATTGGTGGGCAATATGGCGCACGTGGTCACAGTGTTCTCTGCCAGGTGGAGAACGCTGTGACCAGGTGAACAGTGGCCACATGTGCCATTCTCCTGTTCTCCACCAGGTGGAGCTGTTAGAGGCGCTGCTCAACTACTACATTCTCAACACCCTCTACTTGGAGGTCAATGGTAAGTATCACTATGGATTTTTCCAAGTCAAGAGTGGACACTGCTTTTGGGGGGAAAGAGAGCTGGACTTGGAGTTAGGAGACAGGGTTCTCTTGCCAGCTATGAGACCTTGGGCGAGTCACTTCCCTATGAGTGTCAGGGGCCTGTCTTCGCAATGGGAGTGTTGAAGTCCACCTCATCTCCCTCCAGGGCTTAATGAAGGCTGGGGCCTGGGACAACAATTCAGAGCACAGGAAACTCCTTCTAAGAGAGGAAGAGACTCATGGAAATGCCCCCCTCCCCTGAAGTGGCGAGGGAAAGACTAAAGACCAAGTTCATATAGAGAGCACAAGACAGCCCCCTCTAAATTCACATTTCTGATTCAGTTGCCAACACCCTTTAAACATTTAAGCATAAAGACCTAAGCCCTGTTTCATTTGGCTGCAATAGAAAGCAACATGGGGGTGGAGGGCAGATGCCCACGGCTTCTTATCATGAGTGCATCCCGCCCATGCCTACCACTCCTTCCAAATAGCCTCATGGCGGCAAGCTCGGGCTCCTGTAGCAGCCTTCCTGGGTTTAAATCCCAGTTCGACCCCTTTGTAGCTGTGTGAGCAAGGATAAGTTACTCGGCCACTCTGTGGCTCAATTTCCTTATCTGTAAAATGAGAATAATAATCCTATCTACTTCACAGTCTTTGGTGATAATTAAATGAGACTGTGCTGTGTATAGAGTTTGCACAGAGGCCTTTTTAAAAAAAAAATAAATTCTTTGTCTATAATTGCTATTCACAAATTTCTCTCAATGTTGTGCCTCAATCTCCAGCTAAACTGGCATCAGGCTTCCCCCTTCCTCTGCTAAAACGTATTCAGCTCTACGACCCTGTTGTCCAGATCCACAAGGTGAGTGGGTTCAGGGGGCTCAGGCGGTTTGGGGAGGGGACTGTTGAGCTTTCCAGGTTCGGAGGCCAAAGCTCAGTGGGTGAGGTCCAGCCCAGCCCTGCAGCTGGGAAAGCCTGGCCTGGGGTGGGATGCTAACTGCCACGAAACCATCCACCTGTCCTTCCAAAGTGGCACTTCTGTGGGAGCGGAAGGTAGTTGACATGGTCAGTGCTAAACTGCCTTCTACCCCTCACTGTGAGTGACCTGGGGTAGCCTCAACACTAGTTCATTTTTAAATACTGTAATTCTAGATATGCCAACAGGCTGAGTTCTAAAAGCCATTTGTAGCTTTTTAAAATGTCTTCTTAATTCTTAAGTGGAAGAGCTTTATTATAAACTAGTGGCCCAGTGCATGAAATTCGTGCACAGGGGGCAGGGGGCATATGTGTCCCTCAGCCTGTCTTGCACCCTTCTCCAATGGGATTGGGCCTAAACCAGCAGTTGGACATCCCTCTTGCAATCCGGGACTGCTGGCTCCTAATTGCTCATCTGCCTGCCTGCCTGATCACCCCTAACCACTCTGCCTGCCAGCCTGCTCACCCTCAACTGCCCCCCCACTGGCCTTCTCACCCCCATCTTCCCCCCCTTGCTGGCCTTATTGCCCCCAACTGCCCCCCACCACTGGTCTGCTTACCCCCAACTGCCCCCCACCAGCCTGCTTGCCCCCAACTGGTCCCCCCTGCCTGCCTGATCACCCCCAACTGCCTTCCCCTCCTGGCCTGATCGCCCCTAACCACCTCTGCCTCGGCCCTGCCACTATGGCTTTGTCTGGGCAGCGGCCACGGAGCCAGCTGGGGCAACCAAGGAAGCCAAGCCTCCCACGCCCGCTCTCTGGCCGGCTTGGCTCTATGGCTCTGACTGGCGCCACCATCTTTGTCACATCAATTTTCTATTCCCTCCTTATTGGCTATGGGTGCCACCATCTTTATCGTGAAGTGATGGTTAATTTGCATATTATTTGTTTATTAGATAGGATATGTGTTTGGTGGGCTCCCCCTCAGAGACCCATTACCCCCACATACACCCACAGTTTGAATTTTAATATACTTCCTTCAGTATTTTTTATCTCGCTAAGCATTTGAAAAAATTGTGTTTTGAATAGTTGCATTGCTAGTGCTCATACATGTTTTCTTTTTGTTGCAATCTAGTCCCCCCCCCCCGCAGTGTTAAGTACTGCCTCATCCATCAGATGGACCATAATTTACTGAACTATTTTAGGACCAAGGAACATATCTAATTCTTCACTATTCTCTCCACTACTCAATCGAGCATTTTATGGTCCGTCTGTGCCTCACAGTCCAGGGTATCTTTCTGGGACAGCGTCTGTGAGGTGGGGTGGCTGGGATGGTGGGCACTGAAGGAGAGGCTGCATTGTGCCTGGCACGGCATCAACATCCAGCAAACAGCAGCTGCGAAGAGAGCGAAGGGCAGCAGCATGGGCAGGAAGGTTGAAACACTGGCCACTTGATATATTTGAAAGTCAAATCTCCAAAAGTCTTTTGGGTGCTGAGATACTCAACACCCAACTTCGGTTGGGCGTTTACAAGAAGTCAGACGGATTGTTGTTCCGAGCAAAGACTGAGTGACAGTTCATGCAGCTGGCCCCAGTTTTCTCCTCTGTAAAATGGGGTGTAGCCCATAGCCTACTGGGCTCCTGGGACAGTAAGAGGCCAAGCACGGAAGCGTCTAGCTCAGTGTGGCACGTGGGAGGTCATTGGAAGATGTATTATATGCTATCTTATTCATTAGAATTGTGAGCTCCATTCTGTTCATTTGTTTGACACACAAAGGCAGAGGATTGTCTCGCTGAGGGAAAAACTAGGACTTTGCCTTGAGTGCAGAATTCCTGCCCCTTTGGGTGATGGAAACCTACGAGGAAGAGGGAGTGAAAACCCTGGCGGCTCACAGTTTTGTATTGTTTGCCAAGGAGAGAACATTCAGGTGACACAGAGGACATTTATGAGGCCTGCCCGGAAGCAGCAGCTTGGGAAATGGCAGATAAATCGCCGCCTTAGAGCAGGTCGCTGGCAAAAGCAGTGCTTTATGGAGACCTTGGGGACGGAGGCACACTGTGATTTATGTACTGACCTGGTTTCTGGCAGAGCTTGTGTTCCCACAGACATGGGCCTCCTTTCACATCGGAGAAGCATCTCTTTGAAGCAGAGGATGTGTTTACCATCCTGTTCTGTCTTGTCTCTCCTAGGACTTCCTGTTCTTAGGCGCCAACATCCAGTACCTGAGAGTTTGAGGGCGAGGAGACAGACGGGCACGGAGTCCGCAGCGGGGTCAGCAGGGTGCAGCTCCAGATCTGCAGGCCATTCCCGGAGATTCTGGGAGGATGAAGACTTTCCTGTTCTCTCTGGGGGGAGGTCTGCCTGGCCTCTGCCCCCACTCCTCTTCGGGAGGTGTGCCCAGGCCCTCTTCAACTCCGGACTTTACTTTCTCCGCCAGGATGGACTATCGTCCTCACTGGCCTGTAGATCATCAAGGGCAGGCACCGTTGTTTTCATTCACCGTCTGATCCCCATGCACAGTGCTGACACGTAGTGGGTCCTCAATAAATATGTACTGAATGATTCCCTGAAGGAACCACCGGGTCCTCCCTGTTGCCCACGGGATCTTTGGATGGTCAGTCCCATCTGTGGTCTCCAGTGCCTGACCCTGACCACACTCCCCTTTCCCATCCGCTGCTGCTGTGGGAACCTCAGCGAGAGAAGAAGGGATTCTGCTCCCCGCTCAGCCCTGGACCTGGTACTGGTGCCGCTCTCTTAAGGGGCTTGTCCATCTTGGTTTATGGGGAATTCGTGGGCTCATTTTAATATATGCCTCCCAACCCCCTCACCTCTTGCCTGCTGCAGACACGGAGCCAATGGGTCTCCCAGAGCAAAAACTCAGCCTCCGACTGCTTTCCCCATTGACACGGGTGTCAATTAGGAGGAAATTGACCCGTCTCGGGTTTTGGTCCGACCCAAATAGAAAGCTCATCCCCCTGTTGTTTATGAGCCCCCAGCCTGGAGGAAGCGGCCTTGGTTTCTAATCATCACACAACCAGACTTTGATCAGACTAAAGAGCCGCTTCCAACCTGTGTGGTTGGTTACCCCAGGACTGGGAATCACCAGGATCATTTGGTATTTGTTTATTGTGCTCATGAGCAGATGGATGGCGCTGTCTGCTAGCAGATAAGTCACAGGGAATAGATGGATTTACCGTGTGTGACAGATGCGGTCCAAGATGAAAGGATGCACTGGTGCCCAGCTGCCGGCAGGGTGAGCTGTGGCTGCCCCTTCTCCCTCCTAGCTCCTTTGGCTCACTTGTCCGCGACCATCATCCATCGCTGTGGTGGATGGGGGAAGGGCTCAGGCTTCTTCCAGTGCTAGCCATGTGGTCTTGGGCAGTCCCTCTCCCCTTGGGGTCCTCACCTATGAAATTGGGGTGATAGTAATAGTAGCTACTTCCCAGGGCTGTGATGATGATGAGGTTAGGTAACCTATATAAAAGGATTTATTTAGCCATAGTGAGGACCCAATAGGTATTGGCCAGACCTGCTCACCAAGCATCTCCCATTTGCGGGCACTGGGTCGCTCAGCATGGGGTACGGAGAGGCAGCTTAGACCCAGTGCCAGCCCTGCTCTGAAGAGCATTGCCTCGGATGTGGTGGGAAGAGCCAGCCTTGCTCCCGGTGTACTTGCTTTGGGCTCCTGGCAAGGCCTCGCTGAGCCTCGGTGTCCTCACATGTCCAGTGTGGCCGGGGACCCCTCCTTTCAGGGTGACTAGGGTCGCGATGGGTTCATGTCAAGCTTCTGAGGATGCCAAGGAGGAGAGGTTTCCAGTGGAGAGAAAACGAGATGGGGAAGGGGAGGGAGCCTACAAAGGGTATGTGATCAACCAGTTAAGGGCCACGGGCACTAGCATATGTATATACTCTCCCACCTCGGTCACTGTTTGAGGGGAGCTCTTGATCCCTTGGCCAACTTTAGTTGTGGGGACCTTCAAACACACACCTGGTGGCAGAGTGAGGGTGGCCTGTGGACTGGGCCACATCTCCCTTCACAGGGGGGGTCTCCTGTTCTCCGGCTCCTCAGGACACGCTGCTGCCTCAGACGCTGAGCCCGAGGAGAAGACACTTGGACTCTGTTCTCTGTAGCCTGGCTGAGCCTGGAGGGCCCCCACCTCCTGCCCCCAGCCGACTCATCCTCAGCTCTGCTCTCGTGGGTGCTACAGGCCCTGTATCGGTCGGGCTCCCTAACTGCACACTTCATAATCCACTGTGGTTAGCAGAAGCAGGAAGTCCGTAAGGCCAGCAGTGGCTGCACTCACCCTCATGCACAGTAGGTCCTCGCTTAACGTCTTCAATAGGTTCTGTGACTTTAAGTGAAGAGACATAACGAAACCAATTTTACCACTGACATAAACAAGAATTAAGTTCCTATGGCATCTCATCAACATTATAATGAAATGACACTGAATGAAAGAACAGTGTTCAAGGACCTGCTATATACGCCTTTGGTCCAGACCTCTCTTCTGAGGTCCTGACCTGTCCCCTAACGACAGGGTTGACGTCCCCTCGGGCAGGCGGACTGGCTGTGAGGGCTGCACCTGGCTCCTGTGACAAGGGAATCTGTAAAGGCGTCCTGAGGCTTTTCCTTGGAGTCTGGTGCATAAATCCCTCCACCCTCCCACCCCCAGCACATCTGCCTGGGCCTGCTTCTCCCAGGCCGCAGAGGAACGCTGGTAGTAAAACACAGCAACACAGACGGCTGCTTTATGGGCCAGAAGAAACGATTTTCCACCTGGGGCCACTAAAGAATCCAGAGCTGAATCTCCACTTCCCTGAGCGAGGGCTTTCCTCTCGCCACAAGTGATCTCACGGGGCCCTTAGGCTGTTTCTAAAGGGATGCTTTCACCACTACCACCTCGTCTTGGGTAGGCCCGAGCCATCACCTGCACCCCCAAGACCCAATCAAGCCCAGCTCGATTTCAGCCCCACCCAGCCCACCCCCAGAAAGCTTTCTAGATCTGCAGTCCAATCAAGAATGGTTCTCTAAGAACTGCTCCTGCACAGAATCATTTTAAGAGTCAATATAGCCCAGCCAGCATGGCTCAGTAGTTGAGCGTCGATCTATGAACCAAGAGGTCCTGGTTTGGTTCCTGGTCAGGGCACGTGCCCAGGTTGTGGACTTGATCCCCAATGTGGGGGATGCGAGAGGTAGCTGATCTGTATGTGATTCTCCCTCATCATTGATGTTTCTATCTCTCTCTCTCTCCCTCTCCCTTCCTCCCTGAATCAATAAATATATATATATATATATTTTTTAAAAGAGTCAATATAAAATGGCTAAAATGAAAAACACAGACAAAATCTAAGCATTGGCAAGCATGTGGACGGAGTAGCTGGAACACTTGCCCGTTGCTGGTGGGAGTGTAAAATGGGTACATCCATTGGAAGGATCTGCTAACGTTGAACATGCATGTCCCTATGACCAGCAATTCCACTCCTCAAGGACACCCAACTGGAATGGCTGCATATGTTCAACAAAAGACACGTGCTGGTGTGTTTATGAAGCACTCTTCATAATAAGCCCTCACTGAAAATACCCCACATGCCCCTCAGTAGTGCACAGGTGAACTGTGGAGGAGTCACACAATGGAATAGTAACAGCACTGAGCCAAAATGAACTTCACCTGCATGCAGTGACATAGACGAATCCTGCAAACAGGATGCTGAGTGAAAGAGACCAGACACAAAAGGGTACGTACTGTTTGGTTCCATTGATACAAAGTTCAAAAACAGGCAAAAGGAATTCATGGAAGTCAAAGTTGGGAGGGCGCTCATGCTGCCAGGAAGGAGTAACCGGCAAAGGCCAGGAGGGTCTCCTGGGGATTTGATACTGTTCTGCTTCTTGACACGTGTGTGAGTTCACTTGGTCAGCATCCATCTATGTACACTTATTATTTGCACACTTTTCTGCACATGTTATACTTCAAAGAAGTACATATAAGACACGTCTGTATTTATGAGACTTTTTATAATGTCTTTGATTAATTACGCTCCCAATAAAGTTCCATTTCTCCAGGTTTTTCCATCCAATAAAACAGAAGCACAACTAGCGTAGGCTGTTTATCACGGCACTGTTTATAACAGCAAAAGAATAACAAAGCACAACATAACAAAAACTGAAAGCCACCTGTGGCCTTGATAAGAACCGGTAGATAAAGTATGGGGCATACATGCAAAGGGAGACTATGCAGTCTAAGAAGAATGACCATATGAGCAAACATAAAAAGCCGGCAAAGGCATTATTAAGTGGAAAGAGTAAGCTAGGCAGATACTGTGTTATCTCCCTTTATTGAAAGTGCTGTAGACACATACACATATGCTTATAAGTATACAGGAAATTTCTAGGGGGTTATCCAAAATGCTGGGAACTGAAGTCAGTTCTGAAGATTGGAAATGAAGGGTTTGTAAAGTTGGGAAGCTTTTACTTTCCTTCTTATACCTGTTTGGTTTTCTTTTCTTTCTTTCTTTTTTTTTTTACACAAAATATTACTTAAAAAAATAAAAATGTAAAGATGTAAATCAAAGTAATTTAGGCACATGCTTAAAAAATCAAATGTGCAAAAGGGCTTATAAGAAGAAGCCACGGTCTCAAAGGGAATATTAGCTCCTTGCTAATATTTTAAAAGTATAAATCATAATGAATTCTCTTAGAAGCATTATACTTGTGCACTCTGTTGCTTTATGTCTCATTTTTAATTGAACATTAAGGGAATGCAGTATTTTAATTGTAACTCCGCCAATATCTTCATCTAGAGACTTGTTGCCATTTTTGTCTGTTATGAAATTTCTGTTGCCAAGAAAGTCAGGATTACATTATTTTCTTTCAGATTGCATTGGTGTAGTGCATTCTTGGTTACCAAAATACTCATATAGCTTAGGGGCTATGAAATGGTAAATATTCATGATGTGTGAGAGAGCATGATACATAACTGTACAATCCCAATTACAAAAGAAAGGGAAGCTTAGTTGTGTAGATACACAGGAGACTGAGAAGAACACGTCATACTACAAACTGCTTGTGATTATGGATGGCTTTGTTCTTCGCTTCTTGTGTTTTTCAGTTTCCTACTATATGCACATGTTAACTTAAAAAAATAGTGTTATTTTTTAAAAAAAAAAACAACCTAAAAGCAGTCTCATTTTATTATTTTGCATCTAGATACCTAGTTTCCCCACCATCATTGTTTAAAGATAATATGTATGGGAAATAAAACATCAATTAATAAACAATAATACAAGAATAAACTCTATGTTTCAAGTACTCACAACTGAAAACCTACTTTTGCCCCACCCTGTACTTTACCCTCCACCCCACCACCACCATTGTGTAGTCTGGCACCCTTGTCGAAGATCATTTTGCCATATATGTGTAGGTTTATTTCTGAGCTCTCTATTCTCTTCCATTGGCCTATATGTCTGTCTTTATGTCAGTACTGTTTTTATTTCTGTAGCTTTGTAATATGTTTTTAAGTCAGGAATTGTGAGGCCTCCAGCTTTATTTTTCTTTCCTGAAATTGTTTTGGCTATTTA